ACAAAAGGTGGATTGAAACAAGAGTTAGACAGGACTGTTTTTGGTAAGTTGGCTAATATAAATTAAGTTGTAAGAGAAGGATGGTACTAGAAGCACATTGGTTAATAGAATACCACAAGGAAGCTTCATTATTCCTACATGAGTGGTTGGAGCATGATGACTATTAGGTAAGGTCACTGACATCTTATCTATTTTCCTACATCTTAGAAACAACTTAATAGAACAGATGATAGGATCACTAACTCCTGTATCTAGCACCCAAAACACCTTATCAACACAAGATTTTAGGGTAGAAAGTGAAATTGTACCTACCATTGCAGTGTTGTTCCTAGTTAGAACAGAATTAGCTTGACTTATGTTATGAGAAGATGGAGATTGAAGCAATGCCTTAAGCCATGTCAGTTCATCAAATGTGAAGCTAGAGAAAGTTGGTGACCCCGAGTCATGTTGGCTGGTTAAACTAGTTGGGCTGTAATTGCTTGCTCCTCTTGAAGAGTTCATATCTGGTGCATTAACATCAACTGAACCAACAAAACGTCTCCCCTTCCTGAACTGTTTCCTGAGGTTTGGGATTATTACCCAACAGTCCATTTTTCTTCTTAAGCTTCCCGCAATCCTTCTTGGCATGCTTGTCCTTCTTGCGGTAGTGACAGAACAAACCAGTTTGTTGACCATAATAAGCAGGTCCTTTGTCTCATGGCTGGTTGTATTGAGCTATAGAGGCTGCCAATGTTGTTGCTAGTGCAATAGCTTCTTCTGACTTCCCAGCATTAGCCTTAGCCCCATTAAGTTGTCTCTCCAGTTGAACAACAGAACGATACACGCTATGCCAATCTGGAAGTGGATCTAACATGAGCATTTAAGTCTTGACCTGCTGATATTTTTCATTCAACCCAAGCAAAAACCTAACAACCCTTCCTCTCCCTTGATACATCGTAACAGTCTCATAAGTGCGAGATGCACAATCAAAGTAAGGAATGGGAAGGTTATCAAGTTCATCCCAACAAAGCTTCAGATTAGTGTGATACTCTCTAATGGATTCGTTTTCTTGCTTAACTAGATCAATTTTCTCCTGTAGATTTGCAATTCGGACTGAATCCCCTTGACTGAACTTACCCTTCAAGTAAGTCCAAGCCTCATATGCAACCTTGATATTTCGCAAACTAGGCACGATATTCTCAGACACAAAATTTTTAACCCAACAGAGTACATTACCATTCACATGATCTCAGGTCCCATAGCTTGGATCAGTAATAGGAAGTACCTCGATTGTGCCTGCGATGAAGCATAGTTTGTTCTTTGTCCTGAAGGCTACTTCCATGGACTCGCTCCAAAGAAGATAGTCATCGTCTGTTAATTTGAAGCCGGTGACTGGAAGAAATGAGTTGTCTCACACGTTCTCAGGTCCCATAGCTTGGATGAGTAATAGGAGGTACCTCGATTATGCCTGCGATGAAGCATAGTTTGTTCTTTGTCCTAAGGGCGACTTCCATGGACTCGCTCCAAAGAAGATAATTTTCGTCTATTAATTTGAAGCCGATGACTGGAAGAAATGAGTTGTCGCTTTGAGCGAGGTAAAAGGGGTTTGAATAGGGATCTTCATAGTGGGGCGAAGAGATCTCCTTATCCATGTTTTCTCTCTCGTCGGAGGTTCCGTCAGCCATAGTGTTGCTTCAGGACAGCTCAACAAAGAAAATGATGAAGAAGAAAGAAGTGTGAGGTGGTAAAGAGATCAAGCTGGTATTAGCCAACCAGACTCTGATACCATGAGAATGTTTGTAACCTAGCAGTAAAAATGCTAGGGTTTTAGGGAAGAAGAGAAGCCGAGATAGTGGGAATCGGTGGATAGACTTTCTCCATTTTCATAAATCAGTATATATACAGGGGGTTAATTACAAAAAGGTAAAGCTATGCAGATTAACGGCTAATAGCAACTAACCATCAAAATCGACCTTAATATCACACCAAGTGGCAAACAAGAAGAACTAATTACAACATTCAAATGCTTCGTGAAAACGACATCGTATGTCTCTTATTTATGCCCTAAGTTTCCGAACCGAGTCGGGCGAAAGGAAGCCCGACTCAATTGACTTGTTACTTCATCCTGGAACTATATTCTTCTACCCTGTTCATTCATATGTTTCTTCTACTAATTGCCGAGAATACATTTGTACAACATGTGGGGTGGGAAGTGTCTTCCCCCTTTGGGATGTGAGATTCACGTCCAAGGGTAATTTGGGTATGACAAAAAACAGAATTTATTAATCAACTTGTTTTGTATTAATTACACATTGGGAATTAAAAACCCCATATTAAATACATATTTTTTTAAATTTATATCTTACAATTAATTCATTTATATCTCTCTATCTCTCTCTTCCTTTTCCAGCAGCCTCTTCATTCCGATCGCCAAACTTTCTCTGACTCGCAGACTTTTTCATGGTGAAATCCTTCAATCAAACTCGCTCTGACAATTTGCAAAAAACCACTCTGTTAGTGCGCTAGTGGTACTGATTATTTCGTCCAGCGGTACGCTACCACTACCATCTGGTAGCTAGTAGTGGTAGCGTACCACTCCTGGTACCACTACCACTAGGTAGTGGTACAAAATGAGTGGTACGCTCCCACTACCAGCTACCTGATGCTAGTGGTAGAGTACCACTCCATCTGGTACGCTACCAGAAGGAAATCAGTACCACTAGTCGAAAAAAAAACCAGATATAATGGAATCTGAAAAATTCTAGATCTGAAAAAAAGGGATGAGGAAAGGGGGAGTCAGTGACGGGAGAGAGAGGCAGGGGAGAGGTGGTGACCTCGCGGCGGTGATTGGGCTGTAACAGGGAGAGGGTGATGGCGCGACGGTACTAGGAGGCGGAGGGCACAACGGCTGCGGCGAGAGGGAGAGACGGAGGCGGCAAAGGGATGGAGAGACGAAGACATCGACGACATGGAGAGTGGAGGAGGCTGAAGGCGACTAGGGTTTAGCGGAGAGGGAAGAGAGTTGGGAGAGAGGAGGGGTTGGGTTTTTTTATGAAAAGAGATTATATAGAAAATAAGAAAGGATCCAATGTAGTAAAATTTTCCCTTCCAAATATACCCTTCATTTAATCTTAACCATCAATTTGAAAAAAAATAAGAAGGAGACAAGAGAGAGAGCATATCCAATGGCTGGAAAGGGGGAAGCGAAAATCACAACCCCCACAGGGGAAGTGACGCTATCCCATCCCCAACTTGTGGCAAATTACACTAGATATACGAGCTCACAACAGAGCTAAAGCCTCGTTCACTTGTCATTCCGTTTTTTATGGTTGCCGAAACAAAAATTAAATCATAATAAAAATGAAGCTTCCATTTTTTTAGAAACAAAATCCGAAAAATAAACTTATTTATCTAAGAATTTTCGACATCTAAATAAAATTATGTCATTTTAGTGAATTTAATTAATAAATATTAATTTTAAATATTTTTATGAATTTTAAATGTGATATGATTTGTTTAATTCGAGTATAAACAATTGAGTTTTGATGCTAAATATTACGTTAAATATTATATTTTATTCAAATATCGATGTATATTGTAAGGAGATTGTCTTGAAATATGTTATATATATGCTTAAATTTATTTGACGTTAAAAATTTCTCACATTTTCTACCTATTTTGTTAAATCGATTCTATACATGTCGGATCATACCACTTCTTAAACTGACACAATGATATAAACCAATTTGAAATAGATTCTTTATAAATTTAAATTCATTTAATGTTATTAATTTTTTATGTATTTTGTTAAACCAAAATAAAACATGATATTTCTGTTAATCATAACACTTTCTAAACCCACAAAAATACAGGTATCGTTTGCTTGTGAGATTTGGGTGATGTATTTGGAGCTCAAAATCCAAGTATTATGTATTTGTAAAAAAAAAACATTGTTTGTTGAAGCATATAAATCCGGGACACACATCTCATTTGGTATTTGGTCATGGAAGACGAGGAATTGCGAGCCATGGTACAAAAACTTTTAAATCCATGATCAAAATCAATTAAACAATATCTTTCAAATACAAAATGCAACAAATCCATCATAAATCCAAAGGTTTTCAAAACTTAAAACCTTAATGGGAGTGTGAAGGTAGGTGTAAAGCGGAGATAAATCAACTTTGGGATCCGGTTCTTTCGGAAAGAAAAAGTGCGACACAACTAGGGTTTCGTCATCTAATGATGGCGGTGTCACCAACGTCCGGTTTGCCGCCGCCAACTGGGAAACCACCAGAAACTACAAGTGGAGCAAGGCGTGCGCACTAGGGACATCCTCCCCGGATGGAAAGAGTGATCGTGAGACAATCCAGCTAGAGAAAAAAGTATGGTCGATGAATCTAGAAGGGGTCTCGGCGGGACTGCCAAATGAGAACCAATCGATGATGGAAATGGATGATAACCAGAATGAAGACAATAAATAAAAGGAATTCAAGAACCCACGTGGTGCATGGCAAGGAGGATCCTCGAGGCTATTTAGCAAGGTCCTACGTGACAAGGGGTGATGGGTGGCAAATTCGGATTCAGAAGATGTTGCACAACATGAAAGAGAGGAAGATGACGTACTTGATGAGCAAACGTTTAACCCTAGATGCCCACCATGTCTCTTTACGGCGGCGTAAAAGAACAAATGGCATCGGGAATGGAGGTCAGCTCTGGTAGTACGTGGACTTGGAAGAAGGGTCTCTTTTCTCCAATAGTCGAAAACACTAAATTTCCTCTGGGCACGACAGGACGAGATCAAGATCTCTGATATGAAGAACGGGTGCTTTCTTGTTCGTTTCAGAATAAAAGAAGACTATGAGTTTGGAGCATCGGGGGGACCGTGGATGCTAGGGGACATGAACCTTACAGTATTCCCATGGTTTAGAGGTTTCAATTCCTGGAAAGTTGAAGCAAAGTCTATAATGGTTTGAGTTCAGCTACCAGACCTACCCATTGAGTTTTATAATGCTGAAGCTGTGATGATAACTGGCCAACTCATTGGGAAAACTATATGGGTTGATCGAGCAACAAAATGGGGAGCCCACGGGAATTTTGCACATGTGTGTGTGGAAGTCGATCTTACCCAACCATTTTTGTCTCAGTACCAAGTGGAAGGAATTACATATCCTATTCAATATGAAGGGTTGAAAGACGTTTTTGAAGACTGTGGCAAGTATGGGAAACCTATCCATCGATGTAATTGCACTGTAATGGGAGAGGAAAACAAAAGCGCTACGGTGGAGTGTGTCCAAGAGACCCAAATTGACGATCCAATGGAGGGCCGTGTGTATGGAGATTGTATGACGGTTAAGAAGAAAACTTGAAAACATGTCAGAAGACCAGCACAGAATAAGCATAATAGGCAAAGAAGTAATCCCAACCGGTTCCAAGTTTTCAATGATACAGCTAATAACCAGTCAGGCTAAAAACAGGCGGACACCATTGTGGATGAGCGAGCACCACAGAGAAGGGATAATCCCAAACAAGCTGGGAGAAAGGAAATGAGAGAAGTCAAACAATCTCATCAAGCAACAATGACTCACGAAAAGGAAGATATAAGGGGCACTGATGGTCTGAATACGAACCCAACAAAGAAAGGTGGACACAAGGAAGGCAGTAAAAAAGTAGGGTGTGATCAAGGGAAGGGTGACAAGAGGACTGGTGGGAAGATGGATAAAACTAGCGAGGTACAAGTGAATGCTTGGCACAATGAGGCTCAAACTTGAAATACCGTCCCCGCTTTGGTTCTTCATCCGCCTCGCCATAGCTATCACAAATGATGGGTCTATGGTCCCAGCGGTCTTGGTCTAACTTCCTTACTCGCACGCTCTAGAAGCGATTCTGCTAGCTATCCGATGCTACGAATCGATCCAGACGTTCCGCAATGTCAGCTGCGGTCGCCCTACGATTCTCCCAAGTAAATGGGTATCCCATGTAACCCAAATCCGTTAGGCCAACCTCATTGAGACAGTTGTCAAACTCATCCATTAAAACATCGCACACCACCCTTCCTCCTCTCTTCTCCTCTACCTTAAGCACCTGATTAAAGTCCACACCACAGAGCCAAGGGCCATCCCACTGATTGGATAGCCGTCTGATTAGGTCCCATGTCCTCCACTTCTCGCTATCTTCAGGCTAGCCGTAGATTCTAGTGAATCTTCAGATGCCTCCGTCCTCGCTCACATGTACATCTGCATGGTTGGAAGAGTTTGTCATAAGTTCAACATTATTATCCACGGATGTCCTAACCACAGGCTTCTCCCGACCAGTAGGAGGTTCGACAGGTTTACTGAAGTTTGGTATTTCAAGTTTGAGCCTCATTAGGCCAAGCATGAGGATTGGCCCCTAGTGGTGGAGGAAGCTTGGAAGGAGCAGGCGGGAGCTGATATTCTAACAAAGTTTAGTTTTTGCAGGACAAAACTCGACAAGTGGAGCCGTGATGTTTTCCCGCACTTTAGGAGGCAGCAAACAAAAATAAAACGAGCGTTTGCGGCTTTGGATCGACGACCCAGGACTAAATTTAATATCCATCAACGGAAGGTCCTTGAGGCGGAGATGGAAGAGCTAGAGACGAACGAGGAGATCTATTGGAGTCAGCATTCCCGGGCGGACTGGTTGTGCGGTGGAGACAAGAACACAGCTTTCTTCCATGCGGCTTTCTTCCATAGGAAAGCTTCTGCCGAAAGACGACGAAATACTATCTAGAAAATCAAAGACGAGGCAGAGAAGTCTTTCAATGTTTCACTGACTATTTTATTCGTTTATTTACAGCAAGCATGCAACCGCAAGAGACCCAAGTAATGAATGAGATTAAGAGATCGGTGTCAGACAAGCAAATGAGGAGTTGTTGTGGCCGTTTGGAAGAGAGTAAATCATCACTGCACTCAAACAAATGGGTGCGAGCAAAGCCCCGGGTGCTGACGGCTTATATGTTCTATTTTTCATGAAATTTTGGTCAATAATTGAAGATAAAGTTGTGGCAGCGGTGCTGAATATTCTTAATATGGGGTGATGCCACCGGAACTCAATCACACACTCAGCTCTTATCCCGAAAGTCAAGGTACCATCTGTACCATAAGAATTTTGACCTATGAGTTTGTGCAATGTCCTCTACAAACTGGTGGCTAGGGATGGTAATCGGTTTCTGGTTAATGGTATAACCGGAAATCATACTAATAACCGCGATTACCGGTTATATCATTAATCAATTATAGCAGTTTCGGACGGTAATCGGAAATTATATAATCCGTCCTGGTGACCGATAACCGATTGTGGTAACCGACATGTTAACCGATACCGATTGGCTAACCGACAACGCCATCTCCAGGTGCAATTCCACTTGAACATTCTCATTCCCCAACCTGCAATTCACCGCCTTCCTCTCCCCCACCACACGAACATCTTCCAACTTTAGCTTTTCAATCCTGCCTAACTTCAAAATCAAAACCCCACCTAAGGCTCATGGATTAGTAGAACGAATCCTTATAATATTCTAATTCTATCATTAGTTCTCCTCTTCCACTGATTGTTGTACAGAAGGCAGAAAACAAACATGAAAAACAAAAGAGAAATGAACTTTAGTAGCAATCACCCTCCAATTTCGACATCCAAGGCTAGAGGGTAGAAAGCACCTATTCTCTCCAACACGTCCCCGGCATATCATCGAGAGTCATACTGCATGCGAGCTATGGCCAGCTCTCGATTCCATATTGGTACGAAATCAAGGTTCACGGCCGTGGAGAGGCTCCTGCGCCGCAACGCGAGAGGCCAACGACTTCACCATCTCCGATCTCCGGTTCGACGGCGTTTCCTCCTTCGGCGGGGAAGATTTATTCTGGACGATTTCTCTTGATTAGCTTCGACCCCCAATACTCTTCGCTGGCCAAGAGAAGCAGTTGTCGCATATCGGCAGAGGAGGGGAGAAGCAGTCGTCGTAATCTCCCCGCCGACCTGGCTAAAAAAGTGTCTTCTCGCCATCGCAAGCTTTTTGAGGTTAATTGCTCTTCCGTCGCGTCTAAATTAAGTCACAGAGGGAGGTCTGTGCTTGACTTTGCCGCTAATTGGGTAATTGGTTTAATAATTGCTTACTCGGTTATCCGGTATCAGTAATCTATGGTGGTTTGACAGTAATTCGTATACCGATAATCGGCTAACCGATTACCGGTTAACCGATAACTGAATGATTACCGGATAACTGATAACCGACCGATTACCACCCCTACTGGTGACCAAAGTTCTTGCAAACCAACTGAAGGGTGTTCTGTATTATGTTATTGCCACATAAAAAGTGCTTTTGTTCCAGGTAGATACATAACAGGTAACATTATGGCTGCTTTCGAGTGTTTTCACACCATGAAGAAACGGGCGACGAGTAAAAGTGGAGTTGGGATTTTCCCACAAAGATAGAAATGGCAAAAGCATATGACAGGGTGGAATGGCACTTTTTAGAAGGTGTGTGCGTATGGTGTCTTATTTCGTGTTGGTGAACGGTCACCGATCTTAGACTTTCATCCCGGAGAGAGGGCTAAGACAAGGGGACCCGATCTCACCTTACTTATTTATGTTCTGTGCAGAGGAACTATCGGCGATCACTAGAGAGCCACTCAAGGATCATCACCTACATGAGATCCAGCCAGCTAGAGGAGCGCCAACTATTTCTCATTTATTTTCTGCCGATGACTGCGTTTTCGTTGGCAGAGCTACTACCCAGGAAAGCGAAATTCTTAAGGAAATCTTACAGGCGTATGAGTGGGAGTCGGGCCAGATTGTGAACTACCGGAAGTCCGAAGTTTCTTTCAGTGGCAATGTGAAGACCCATCAGAAACTTATGATTAGTGGCACCCTAGCTATGAAACTTGTTGAGAAGCATGAGAAATATCTCGTCTTACCAACAGTAGTTGGACGTTCGAAGAAGGAGATTTTCAATGGCCTCTAAGAGAGAGTTCGCAAGAAACTGATGGGGTGGAAAGCGAAAGTGCTTTCGGTTGTTGGGAGGAAAACTCTAATGCAAAGTCTTACTGCACTTATGCAAAGTTGATTTTCAGAATTCATGCTGCTATTGTTAACGAAGTTCATAGCCTCATTATGAACTTCTATTGGGGTCGGAAGGGAGCTGAACGTCGGGACCATTGGATGAGTCAAAAGGAGATGGCTATCCTGAAGGAAGAAGGCAACATGACTTTCAGGGAACTCGAAGGCTTTAATACTGCTATGTTGGCAAAGCAAGTATGGAGGCTTTTCCAGAGATCATCATCGCTGGTTGCTCAGATTATGCGGGAAAAGTACCATAAGAATTCGTCTATCCTGGATGCAAGAGTAGGATACCGCCCCAGCTCATATGGCGAAGCCTGCTCAGCGCACAAGAATTCTTATGCGACGGACTCCAGTGGAAAATTGATAATGGAACAAAAGTTAGAATCTGGGGAGACAGGTGGATACCCTCACACAAGCCTTACTATGTTGACTCACCGCCATGCAGTTTGCCTATGGACTTGGTGGTGCGCGAATTGATATGCCCGGACACAGAACAATGGGACCATGATTTGATTGCTAGCTGCTTCCCAGCATCCATTGCAAAAAGAATTCTCCATATTCCACTGCGAGGTAATGGGGAGGCCGACCTCTTAATTTGGGCGGAGAATGATACAAGTGATTATACTTGAAGGATGGTTATAACGTGTGGATCCAATCCTTTAAGTAGAAAGAATCATTTGTAGCCTGTGGCGACCCACGGATCTGGAAGAGGCATTTGGGCCATGAATATTCCGTCAAAAGTCAAGCATTTTTTATGGAGATTCATGAGAGATATCCTGCCCACCGGGAACCATATCAGTACAAAGAGTACAAAATGGGGGGACAAGTGTCATTTCTGTAATTTGAAGGAGACACAAGCTCATCTGTTCGGTGAATGTGCGTGGGTGTCCAGACCGTGGAGAACATAACATATGGGAGATCACTTTTTGTGCAGGTGATAATTGTCAAAAATATATTGATCATATGTGCTCATGAAATTATTTCATGATATGTTTGATGTTGAGTCAAAAAGCTTGACTTAGCAATTTTATGTTGTCTTGATATGTGCTTTTATTTTAGACTAACAATTCTTGCATAAATATCACAATCAAGGTCTTTAAAAGATTTGCTAAGAAAAGGAAAGAAGTCAAAGCAATTGCTTGGCCTTCAAGAAGCTACCATATCAAGTGAAGAGCATATCAAATCAAGGAGATTCTTGCCATATAAAGGACTACAAATGAAACGAAATGAAGTTTTGCTTTCACTATAAATAGGAGAGTCATTTGTAGTTTAGAGTACCTTTTGCAAAGTT